CTTCAATCTAAACTTTTCCATAGGTACTTATGGTAGATGAGATGTTTGCTCTAAGTCCAGTGCATAACCAAGTGATTTAGTGGTGCAAACACCCTCCAAAGACAGAGATTCTGTTCAGTGATGTAATGTGTAAATCCTGAAAGCAACAAGGAAAAAGAAATTGAATTAAAGATGACTTCATGTTGTATTTTAGGACCAAAAGTATCTAAAGAGTGAGTTTCAGCAAATAATGAAACTGATTCCAAAAGGGAAATGATGAAAGCCTCATCTCATTATAAGTGAGCTAAACAGGCCAATGCACTGTAATAAGAATTTTGCATCCTCTTTTGACAAGCAGGTTAATGACATGAAAGATCTTTGATGTTTTACACTTTTCTGATTCCAGAAATATATTCATAAAGTGTGATTCTGGGATCTGTTTCCATTAGAAACAGTAAGATTTGGGGGGCATACTAGCATATGTCAGGTATATGAATATCTACAAGGACGAACATAAATCTATGTTTGTGTACATTCTATATATGCTTTGGTGAGCTCATTAAAATATTACAACATTTCATAATTTGTCACTGTTTTTTAATTTTTTTTTTTTGTTAATTCCTTGCTTTTCTTTGCCTTGCTGCAATACGAGTGTAGTTTAGTGAAGGGAGAGAACTGTTGTTGTTAGAACATTTTGGCAGTGGATCTTAAGATACTAGACACCTTTAAGATACTAGACACCTTTAACACTAGGACCTTTAACAAGAAATGTACACAAATTTTCTTTTAACAGTAGTTAGAAGGTGTAGGATGGTGGTAAATCTGTGCACTTTCTTTATATAACTGTTGACTTCCTTGCTTGTGGACATTCACAGGATCTTGTGTTTTTAGCTGATGGAAATTTCTGTCCCTTTAGAGAGGTCTATGAGCTAAAAGTGGCTCTTAAAAGATACTGCTTCTGCAAAGAATTCATGCATGAGTACTTGTTTATTTCTTTGTGACTGACACATGGTATGGGATTGAAGGAAGAGAGTTTGACTTGGTCAAGTTAGGTCCTGGAAATGGCTTGTAAGTGCTTCTTGTATATCCCCAAGTGGCTGTTTCAATCAATCTCCTCATTTTCCAGTTCCTGTCTCATGTAACCTGAAAATTGTCTCACTGTATGTGGTGTATAGAAGAAATGAGGAGCTCGGTTGGTGAAACAGGGAGGCAACGAAGACAGTGATGGCAAACGTAGCTATAGTTTAGAGACAAGTAGGTGCTATCACACACATGAATAAGATTGACAATATATTACACAGACTAAGATATCTCAAAGCTCAATTATCTTGCTTATTGTCTCGCTAGTAATTTTCTTTTTCCTTAAGGAGACTGGAATGATATTTTTCAGGACTTGAAAATGTTGGCATTGTACTTTACCCAGACAGGTTTCCTTTGTCTTAATATGGCTGAGGTACCCTGTTTCTGTGTAAATTAGTTGAATCTAAATCTCTATACTCTCTCATTTGACTTTGTCTTTTCAAAGGACTACTTTATAAAGGCAAGGATACCAACAAGTTTTATGTTCCATTTAGTCAAATAAACAGACCAAAGGACATGTTAGGGCTGCTATAGGTACGAGCATGTGGGTTGCACTATTGAAATCAGGCATATGTCTCCACAGTGGTGAAATTGCAAGGTTTTTCATTTGTTTCTGGTACAGATTTTTTTGCAATAGGCAAAGTCTACGCATAATTATGATCAAAAATTGATAAATGAAGTACAGCTTCTGTTTGTACTTGATGTACAAAGTGTTGAGTCCTTTTTAATGAAAAAAATTATCAGTGTCTTCAGAATATGAGACAGATCATCTTGAATTTTGATGGTAACTATTTTCCTTATGGAAATTTCACCTCCACAGGAGAAACAAAGAAATTTTTAGGGCTTTGGGAAAAAGTAATTTTAATTGCCAAATAACCATTTTTAAAAAGTATCACAGTATTTCTTGTTAGAGTAGATGAGGAATATTTTACTTAAATTATTAATACAAAATATTTTTGTTTGTGTTTTACAAAGAAACAGTATCGGGATTTGCATCTTTATTCTTTCCTTTTTAGTATGCTCAAAGTCAAATGAAATTGGGAGAAATGATCAAATTAAACCTTGATTTTTATTTCATTCTTTTCTCCAGCTTTGTTGTTTAAAAATAATCCAGGCAACGTTACAAAATCAGTTATCCTGAAAATTAAATTTATTAAATACTGTTTGTTTCATTTGGGACTGTATAATGTCTCAAAGATTTCAGATCTGTAACTTTTGCTTATGTGTTATCATATTTTTTTTTCATACATTCAGTGGTTGGTAACTGGTTTACTGATGAGATTATTAGAAACAGACTTTAAGTAGTGCAAAATCAAATATTTAAGCTGTTGTCAATCTGTACAGGGAGAATTTTAAGCAACGATCTCTTTGAAATGCAAGCCTGTAACTTCAAGTCCTTTGTGCATCGGAAGACTCTGGCATGTCTTAAATCCTTTAAAATAAATGAAGGTAACCATTCATAATTCCAGATAATATTATTGCAACAACCTGTTTACTGTCCCGAGACCATGAGGCTGCGTCTGTGTTTGTAAATAAAAAGGGCAGTGCTCATTCCCAAGCCTTGAGTGTGAGTGCTGTGGAACAACTCAGTGAAGTTACACGCTCCACGAAATGTCATCCATAGTTGCATTTGGACACAGTTCCTGTCTCTCCTGTTCCTTGAACTGTCCCCAGTTGTCGTCCCACTTGTAAATAGTGACATGAGTGAAGGCTACTTGGCGCAAGCACACCTGAAGCATCGGCACGAATGGTTGTGGGACAGTGCTTGGGTCTGCACCGAGTCCTTCAGGAGTGGCATAGTCCTAAGGGCCTGCTGCCTGTGGCTTAATTTGGGAAAGGAAGGATGTGAAGCAGTGGGAATTGCTGTCCCACATGCTGGTGGGGTGTGCTGGAGCTCCCCAAATTGCTGGCCTGGCCCCAAGAAGGAAAATGCACTAAAACTAAGCAAAATAGTGAGAGGCAGGTGAGCTGTCATTGCTTTTAAGACAATGATCTTCTGGAGGTAAGAATAGATTTTTTTACTTTTTTGTGAATATAATGCTCAGTCCTTCATCCCCAATTTTAATTCAAAACTCTTGAATTTCAGTTATTCCTGTGATAACACATTGAACATGCATAATGAAGAAAAATTCAGAACAGACAAATAGAACCCATGAGACTGAGTAGCTTGAGTAATCCTTACCTTCATTTCCTAGCACAGGGGAACAGCAAAGGTTAAACAGCATGGTACTCTGCCTTGGGGGCTTGTATGTCTGCACTTGCCAGCCAGCAAAACAGGCTTTACATCTGGGGTTTGAAGGTGTGTGTGCAGCAGGTGGGTGGGGAGGAAGAGTGAGGGTAACACTACCAAGGGTTTCTAGGTGCTGTTCTGTTTTGTTTGTTTGTTTGTTTGTTTGTTTGTTGGCTTTTTTTGTTGTTGGGGTTTGTTTGTTGTTTTTTTTTTTTTAAATCTTGTTTTGGAGGGATAAATAGACAATGTACCACTTTAGGACTCAGAGGAGTGTTATAGACATCTGCAAAAAACATTTGTATTTCCTTTCCCTGAACTGACTGTAAAAAGCTGCTCTGAGTTCCCATAGAGTCTGTGCAATGTATTATAAATTACTTGACTAAAATAAGGGTACACTGTTCATGTACTGTTGCTGCCTAAGGCTACTCTATGAAAACATTGTGTTTACTACATCATATTGCTATTCTTTAATTTTTTTAACTAATAAATAAGCCTAGCTATGCTGTTATTTGCATATTTTTAGGCAGACCCTTCTCACTTTATTTTTAGAATAATGGAGGGGCAAATAAAAAGGCATATATTGTGTGAAAGGTGAAGAAAAGGGAGGAATACAGGGATGCTAAATATTCATAGTACATTATGTAAGGAAACAAATTTAAGGCATCACTAATTTCAACACCTGAAATTTCTTATTGGGTTGGAAGGAACCTTTAAAGATCATCTTGATCCAAACACCCTACCATGGGCAGGGACACCTTCCACTAGACCACGTTGCTCCAAGCCCCGTCCAACCTGACCTTGACCACTTCCAGGGATGGGGCAGCCACAGCTTCTCTCGATAATTGTTCCTGTGTCTCATCATCCACACAGGGAAGAATTTCTTCCTGATAGCTAATCTAAACTTACACTCTCTCAGTTTGAAGCTGCTCCCTTATGTCCTGTCCTTATATATTCTTGTAAATAGTCTCTCTCCAGAGACACAGAATGTCAACAAAGATAGACACTACACCATGCTGTAATTTTCCCAGCTCAGTATTTGTTTCTTCTTAGTCTTCTCTGACCCTTAATTGCACTAGGTGGTACCTTTCTCTGTTCACTTTAGTTGGATTTGTTGTAGAATAAGAGGCTACTCAAGGGTTGCAAAGGTAGTAAAACACAGCTTTGTTATCAATAGGAGTTGATTTTTTTTTTTGTCCCTGTCATGTGTGGCTTTTAAGCCTTTATCAATTACAGTAGACAGGTATCTTGTTGAATTTTATATTTCCATCACTGATGACCTCTTTATTTTCCACAGTGGTATTTTATCACCACTAGATGAGATAGCTGTTTAATTTGTGAGCTCTCTAACTACAGGCTGTGTGCAGAGTACGTTTTTAGAGCAGCATGTGATAGAGTAACCAGTAATAAAAGAACCTTGTATCCAGATCAAACAAAAAAGATCTGTTGGAGCTCTCAAAAGGAAGAGGTTAATGGATTCCAAGGAAGAAATGAACTGGAGTGTGCTGTCATTCGATCGTACCCAGGTTTGATTTCTTCTATCAGGCTGAGCAGTGACTGTAGGCACTTGCCCTTTCCTTATCATTATAATTTGCAAATAGAATGAAAGGCTGAGAACTTTGTACATAGTAATTTATCGCGGGTGGGGTTCGGTCCCGCGACAGACCCAGCGGCACATCTTGTATGGGAAACAGGACACACACACACCCAAGTGTATGTGACCCACAAAATGGCGTTTATTAAAACAAGAAGACAGTTTATATACAGGGGGATACAGAAGGTTCAGGAATAGAGGTGGGTTTCTTGCTGGGGAACCTCGAATCCCGTGAGCTAGTGATAAGTGAACTTGGAGGGATAGGCTGCATAGAATATGTCTGGTCACGCCAGGGGAAGGGAGAGCTTAGGGAAGAATGGAAGGATTGTCCTGGGGGCAGAGACATGGGAATCTGCAAAGGCTGCAAGGCTGCGGCCTTGTAGCTGGGTCCCAAGCAGTTCTGCGCAGCTACAGTTACTAGGAGACTTCGATAGAGATCTCTTCTTCTGAGCCTTCTTTGTAGTTCTTTTGCATCTCTCGCCACTCTCTGTAGGCCTCTTCTGGTCCACCCCTGACATTTCCCCCTTCTCTGTTTTGGAAGACTGGAAAAGCTTGGGAAAAACTTTTAGTTATGTATTTTTTAACACAAAAAATTAGACAGGGAAGGAAGACAAGGATGGAGACAGTGATAATTAGAAATAAAATGATTCCTTTAACAACCTTGTTGGCCCAATCAGAAAGAGAAGGAAAGTGAAGCCAGCTAAAGAGACCTGAAAAACCTTTGTCTTGGTTTATGGTGATGTCATTAACCAGTTGTTTTAGAGTGTTGATGCTTTGGAACACACTCTCAGAGTGGTCTGAGAAGTTCAGACAACACAGCCCTTCAAATTCTTGGCAACCATGGCCGTGGGCAAGAAGTAAAAAGTCAATGGCTGCTCTATTTTGGAGAGTAGCTTCTTTGATTTTCAGGGTGTCTGTTAGCAGGCTCCCAATGGCGAGGGAAGTGGCATTGGCTTCGCTGGCCATCCAGCAGGCCATGTGGGCTAGAGTGGAGAGGGCTTTGGCTGCACCAATGCTGGCAAGTGGAAAACTACCCCAGAATCTCTGAGTATGGGACCAAGTTTGAAATTTGGGGTCACAGTCTGGTGGGACATGGATGTTTAGTTTATCCTCCTTGCCTGGATTGTTTTGAGGGACCTTACGTGCCCGTGGTTTAGAATCAGGCACAACTGGGAGTGGTCTAGATTTGGTGTGCATTAAAATGTAGGATCTTTTGTTTCGAATGAGTTTGGGTCTGTCAGAAATTTGGTTCCTGATTATTTGCAATTTAGCTGGGTTGTACAGAGTAAGTTTTCCAATGGTATATGGTCCTCCCACTGGATTTTTCGGGATGCCTTGCCACGTTCTATCACCACAGATAAGGAAGTAGGTGGAAGGCAGTTTTGTGGGTCTAGAGAAACGTTCAGTGGGAAGAGGGTAAGGTTGGGAGTTATTGCACCATGCGGTGGTGTTAGTATAGATGGAAGAATTGGGGGATATGTTAGGTTCTAGGGTAAGGCGATTAGTAGTGGGTGTGAACCTAAAGTAAGTGGTAGCTACAGATGAGCCTAAAAGATCTAATTCTTGGGGATCAGTATCTAGGGTACCTAGACGTAGGAGAGTTTGGGAAATAGTGTCTGGGGAAGGAAGGAAATTATCTACAAGGGAAGTGTTTTGGATAAACCTGTTCCACTCAGGTATACCCATGAGACAGCTTTTAAAAGGATGACTCACGCTGTCGAGGGAAAGGCACATTGTGTCTGTGTTGGTGGCTTTGGCTAAGGTGATTGTCATCCCTTGGCTCGGATGGGCTCCCCATCTCTGTTGAAAATGGAGCGGCAGTAGCGTGCCCAGTGATACCCCTTCTTGCATATGGGACATAGGGTCCTAGGAAACTTGGGGTTAGGATCTGGGTTAGGGCAGTCTCGTGCAAAGTGTCCTGCCTGCTGGCATTTGTAGCACACACTATTAGCTCTGTGTGCTTCCATGATTGCTTCTGTGATGGCTTGCACTCTGACTGGTTCTGCTTCAATCAATGCATCTGCTATTATTTTGCTTTCATATTTGCTTGAGCCAATGTCTTTACAGGCTTGTATCATGGACATGGGTGTGGGGTTCACCAAGGAACGGAGAACAGGCTGACAATCTTGGTTGGCCTGTTCTATAGCTAATCGGATAAACAGGGCATCTTGGGCCTCTAAAGGTTTCACTTGCCGAGCTATTGCTTCCCTCAGCCTGGTGGCAAAGTCATAAAAGGGTTCTTTAAGGCCTTGCTGTATGTGTGCAAATGAAGGAGAAGTGGTTGTGGCTTCTGCCACAGCCTTGATGGCTTCTAAAGCCAGGCTTTTCGTTTTATCTAGCCTGCCGAAGGGTATCCTTGCCTGCATTCTGCTGGAGGAGTAGGGACCCTCCCCGTACAATTCATTAATTAAATCTTCCACAGGCACTCGCAGTGCATGGTGTGAGTTCTCAGCATATTGCCTTATGAGTTTTTTCCACTCTTGTTCAAAGAGGGAATACTGCATTAGGTTTAAAATCCCCTTTGTAATTACCCGTATATCAGTTGGTGTCAGGGTGTATGCTGCAAATAAGGAATCTAGCATTCCAGAAACAAAAGGAGAGTTTAAACCATAGTCTGTAACCGCTTTTTTCGCGTCCCGTAGGATGGGGTATGGGACCGGTTCCCATTCGGGGTCCCGATTGCTTTCTCGGAAAACCGGGAAAACTTTCAGCAATTCCAAGTCCCCTGCATCTTCTGCCTGCTTTCTCGGACCCTGCCACTTATTGCTTGCGGTAGGGGAGTCACAACCTGTGTTGCCACCGGCTGGGGTGTCTGTTGTTGCAGGGTTTCTACTCGCGGCACAGTATCCATGGGTGCAGTCAGAGAAAAGCAGGCTCCGGCTCCTCCCCCCGGGGCGGGCGCTGCGTGGTCTCGGGGAATGAGGGGGCGTGGAGTCAGGGCTAGAGTCACTTTGTGCGCTGACCTCATCCCGGGGTGGGGGCGTGTCTAGCTGTTTCACGCGCTTTAGGGTGGGGGGGTGGCTCTCGGCGTTATCTTGTGAGGACGGTGGGCGGGGTTTGGTAGTTTTTTCGGGCTTTTTGGACGGAAGAGTCGGGCTCTCGTCGCTACTTTTGACATGTCTCTGGTTTTTCAAATGTGGAAGGATGGTACGCCACGACATGAGAGCGAGACCTGCATTTTTATCGCCCTGTTCAAAGGCATGTCCCAGCGTGTCTCCTAGCTTGTACCACCGCCGATAGGTTAATAAATCTGGGGAAATGAGTTTGTTCTTTGAAAGCCATTTCGTTAAAGCTTTGAGGGACTTTTTATCTATGGGGTGACCCTCAAAAAGTAGTATGGCTTTAATGCGTTTATAAAACTGCTTTTCTGAGTTGGAAAGTGTGTTGCCCATATTGAAAGTAAAAGAAAAGGGTTCTGGGATCACTCACAGGCTATCTTCAGCGAGGCGGTCCTCCAAACGCAGTTTAACGCTGGAGCGGGCTGCGACTACGATTCCCAGCGGCGTGTGCGGGGGCGCGGGGATCGCGGGAGCCTGGGCGGTTCCGCTGAGGCGCTGCTCGGGTCCCGGCGCGGAGGGGGCTTGGCGCTGGTTCCCGGCGCGGCGCGGCTCCGCGGTGGCTCGGCGTGGCGGTGCCGTCCGAAGCAGCGGCTGCCCGGGCGGCAGGGGGGGGCAGCTGCGCTGCTCGGGTGGCGGTGGCGCGCGGTCCCGGTTCCTCTCGCTCGGCGCGGGCTGTCCCGCACCGGGGTCTCACGCAGCTGGTTTCTCGCAGTAACAGCGGCTGAAGACTGAGTGGGCAAAGCCCACTGGTGGCTTCTGTGAGTGGGGTCTTTGGGATAGACCGGACTCCGGAAATCCAAGTCTATCAGTAGCTCGCGGGAGCTGAGATCTCTCTTAATATAAGAAAGATGAGTTCGAGCCCCACGTTCAGAGCGCCATTTATCGCGGGTGGGGTTCGGTCCCGCGACAGACCCAGCGGCACATCTTGTATGGGAGACAGGACACACACACACACAAGTGTATGTGACCCACAAAATGGCGTTTATTAAAACAAGAAGACAGTTTATATACAGGGGGATACAGAAGGTTCAGGAATAGAGGTGGGTTTCTTGCTGGGAAACCTCAAATCCCGTGAGCTAGTGATAAGTGAACTTGGAGGGATAGGCTGCATAGAATATGTCTGGTCACGCCAGGGGAAGGGAGAGCTTAGGGAAGAATGGAAGGATTGTCCTGGGGGCAGAGACATGGGAATCTGCAAAGGCTGCAAGGCTGCGGCCTTGTAGCTGGGTCCCAAGCAGTTCTGCGCAGCTACAGTTACTAGGAGACTTCGATAGAGATCTCTTCTTCTGAGCCTTCTTTGTAGTTCTTTTGCATCTCTCGCCACTCTCTGTAGGCCTCTTCTGGTCCACCCCTGACAGTAATTGACTGTTTTCTTGAAGATCCATGGCCTGGTGCTTATTTTGGAAAAACAGTAAATAAATACAAAACAGTTGGTTTACCTGTATTTTAAGATTTTAGGAATACGTAAAATGGAGTGTTTCAGCTTGTCCATGCTCATGACTTTCAGCTTTGTCTGAAACACTGAAATAGTGCTCTAAGCTGTTTTAAGAGATGGATAGGTAGGAAGCATCCTGTAGTTGCATCCTGAATAATGACTAAAATTTATACATATTCTTAAAAAAACCAACACTGACTTGACTTGATTAGTGGGCTGATTTTCAAGAAAGCAGTATATTCCATGACTCTTCCTGAGAATTGTAAAAATTTACTTGAGATGAGGAAATTGGTGTTGAGCTTTTAATATCTAATTTTTATAAATGTGTCAGTGAACATGTCCATAAAAACCCCTCCAAACAACTGCTAAAACCTTTGTCGTCTACTTGGGGAAAAAAAAATCATGTCATTCTGTCTCAGAGTTAGTTACTTATTTGCTTTGGAACTTTATTTTTAGACTTTTGCTTAGCAAAACAGTTTGGAATGGCATGGACTGGTATTTTATTGACACCAGTATAGTTCAGAAATCCCTAAAGAAGGGAGAATAGGGATAAAATGAGGAAAAAAACTCAATGTCTCAAGCCAACTTAATGCTTTTGTCTCTGTGTTGGTGATTGAAAGCTTTCCTTTAGGTTTCATGTTATTCAATATGTAGAGTAAATGGATTAAAAGTGAATTGCTCATAGGAAAGCAGAATCTTCAGCAAACATTATAAGAAATACATATTTACAATTTGCAGAAAAACACTTCCTTGGTTTTTATATGTAATCTCCACATCATTAATTTAAAAAACATAAAGCAACTCCACTACGTATTATTTAAGATCCAGGTTTGTTACTTTGACAGGATATCCGACAGTTGTCCACATTTATAGGTACTTAAATTTTTGTGTGTAATGATATGCACAATATTGCTTGCTGTTGTACATTTTATCTTTATTTTGACAGGAGGAATATATAAGACATACATTAGGCTTACTTCCTATTCCCTTCTTGCATTCTGAAAAAATAAATGTGGTTGCCTTTTCAGAAAAACTGTCTTTATGCATTTTCTAGTTGATGTATTGAATTACAATGCTCATGTCAGATTGTATCAGTTGTACAAGAGAACTGAATGATGCACCTCCAAGAAAGGAAGCAATTAGATGCCCTTTTTTTCTACAGTGAGTTTTCATTTTATAGCTACAGTCTGATAGCAGGGGTTGTGGGTACTAGGACAAGGGAGGAACCTAACAAGTAGCTGGAAGGAAAATGCTAACACAGAAAACTGCCATGGACATGATCCCTTGATAAGGAAGAGTATAGATGGTGAAATTTTTGTCCCTTTCCATTTAGGAAACTTGAAACCAGTCATTCTCCTTTTCTTCTTAATTGTCTGTGATTCCTGTGTGCATGCAGTTATTTGCCTTATGAATCGAGAGAAGGAAGCTTCAGAACAGATCATGTTAAGGAAACTTCTTATGTTTAAGAATCTTCCCTATATTTCTTCAAATAGTTTAATGCCAGTCCTTTCCCTTGTATTAAGGTCAGTTTATATTAAGCTGATTTGGGCAGTTCTTCAAGCAGCTGCTATAGATATCTTGCTTGTAAACTTAAGAGAGTGCCAAAAATAATATTTCTAAGCATTATAACCTGCATCATAGGAAAATTATACCTATTAAAGCTAATAGTTAAGTATCTTCTAAGATAGTATGTCTAGTAGTGTCAGCAAGAAGCTATTACAGCAGTATTTGGAGTCCCCAAGCAAGATTAGAATTCAGCTATGCTGGGCACAGTGCTGTAACATGGTAAGAGCCAGTCACATATTCCAGAACTTTACAGCTTCAGTACAACCTTTTAAAAACAAAAAAGATTAAAACAACTTAGTGAAGAAGTTGTAAGTGAATCTCCATTATGACAGTGACATATTCTTCCTCCTGAAGACAGAAAGACCATCGAAACCTCTTTGGTTAGCTTGGCTTGACAAAGATGTTTTGAAAGTCTTCCACAGAACAGGGTCCCCAGGTGAACATATGCCAGTTCAAATGGAGGGATTAGCAACCTGTGCAGGTGTTTCTTACAGCTGAAATACTGGTTGCATTTCTATGTTGTCCGATCACATTGGATGATAGATTTTCTTCAGTTGCAAGGCTGAAGTCTGAAATCATAATATATGGAACCACTTTGCTCATGTAGGTGTTAATTGTGTGAATAGGTAGAAATTCATCACCAAGGCAAAACACTACATTCAGTGTGTTTCATCTGGGCAGCTGACCAGAACACTCTATTTCCGTCCCTGAATGAGATGATTGATCATCTATTACAGGAGCTGGAATATGGACCACCATAATACTTAAATACTGATTTTTATCAGATGACTGGGGTAATGCTGGGAAATTGGTAACAAAAGAATCATTTCATAACCTAACTATAACTTCATCCACATAAATCCTGCTTGGGAATGAAATAGAGGTGGCTTTGTCAAGCTACATTTTGGTATTTTGAAGGTATTAGATCCCGTCACAGTTGTGAGGAATTCTAATAAATAGTGATACTAGAATACATGTGATCTCTCTTTAAATCATAAATCAAACTGTGTTTTTCCTTTATTGTGCTTCTGTTTAACCAAAATATTTTATCTTCAGTTATGAATCTAAATGGGAGAAATAAACAGTCTGCTTGCAGGCTTCCAATATTAATATAGATTCTCTCCCAATTTATTTATCCTACTGTTGTGCTAGTGAATTGTGTTTTTCTGAATTACATATTGCACTCTGTCATTTTGGAATCGCTGTTGGATTTGTGATGCAGTGAATCCAGAGTTTCAGCAGTAGGAATTCTACCCCTCTGTTCCTCCCCACCGTCATGACAGTGGAACTGACAGGTCTGGCCCTACCTGCATAAATCATGGTGCAGCTCAGCTTGACTTTGTTCTTTTGACAGCTCTGAGCAGGTCTGCCTTTCAGTTGATGAGTGTGGAAGCCAGACTCAAAGCAGAGTTATACAAAAATACAAATAAAACAGGTTTGCTTCCTTTTATGATGGGTTAGAGAAGTGCAAAGGCAATTTTAGAATTGGGAAAATACGCGGAGTGTACTGTAGGAGACAGAAAATATTAAAAATGTATTGAGGGGTGAACATTCTGTTGTGATGTTTGATTGTAGAGTATGAGTTGTGGGAGAAATACAGTTTAATTTGGAAGAATGATGGAAAAGCTGGCTGGAAAAAGAAAATACTAAAGTAGAAGTCCAGGTTGATGTGCAGGGGGTTGAAGGTGATAGACAGTGTTCCAGGCTGAGTATAAATGGATAAGACCTTTTTATTTACATTAAGTATGTATGTTGAGACCCTTTTAATAGAACCAGGAAAGTTCCTTTTACTGGGGTCACTTGCCAAAAGAGGAAGGGGTAAATCTTATAGACTGGATATTTTGTAGACCTTGGAGGTCTAATTTTAATGTCTGGATCTGTGTAGATTTTCTATGGATGTCTTTTCTGTACAGGCTTTTGTTTCTCACAATTAAAAGGGGATGGTAACAATATCTGGCTTAATCACAAAGACCCTGAGAGAGTAGGCTGGCTACTGCAATGTGTTCAGCTTGTTGAGAGGAGATACGTCCTGTCATGGCTGTTTTCAAGGTAAAAGAAATAACTAGTATCTAATCTGCAGTATAATTGTTGTTTCTGCTACTTTTTATGCAAACAGACTTAGTCAAAGAGATACTCACTGACCTATTTCATCAAAAGGAGTGAACCAGATCAGGACCTGAGATCTGATCACAGCATCCTACTGGTAGGAATGAACACAGTTAAAATTCATGCTGGCATAATTCCATTATCACCTTAAAAGCTGTGGACAAAGAGAAAATAATGCAGTTCTTATATCAGCTACAGAAAGATTTTCTCAAGGAAAAGCTGGGAGATGGGGAGAGGATAGAGTAAGGGGGATCATCCAGGAAAATGACTCAGTCTAAACAAATGGGAGTAGGAAGAGGTCATGGGAATCAGATCTCATTGTACTTACTGGTAGGAGCTGTAGGAGACTTTCAGTGGTTGTTTTGTTGGGTTATTTGTTTGGGTTTTTTCCCTTCTGAATAAATAATCATTTAAGGTGCTCACATTCCATATCCTTGTTATTTACTAATGTTTTGATATGCAAGTAGAATCTGAAAAACAATTGCATGTAACTTGGAGGAAAGAGTACTGACTTAGTTATAAACTGGTTAAATACACTGACAGAATTTTCACTGAAGAGCACGTGTTAGTCTGGATTTAACCGAGTACAAAATTCTGGTCATTTGCGTTGTCACTAGAATTGAGATTTCTTGGCTTTTTTCCTGGCCTCCTTCAATTTCCTCATCTCAGGCTTGATAACCTGCCTTAACAAAAATATAATATTTAAGTAGCTTTACAGAAAATCTTTGTGTTTTGAAGCTTTTTAGGTGAAAGTTATAGATGCACTTTATAGTCGAGTGCTTTCAGAAGGATCAGTTCAGAGTTCACGTACGATCTTTGTCCGTAATTTACACACACACAAACTTCTTTTTCTTTCTTTCTTTTTCTCTTTCTTTTTTTCACAGTCAAAAGTCTACTTTCAATACAGCCATTTATAATAAACAGCAGGTGTTGTGGGTGTTTCCAGGTAATACTTGCCAACAGGAAAGTACATAATCCAGCACTGGACTGCAGGGAGAGCCATTTTTGCCATTAGCAGAGTGTGGAGCTTTGGCTCACATACTGAATTCTGGCAAACTTTGCTCTGTTAAGTGCAAATGGGATTTTATTCATTGTGTAGTCTCCAAATAAATATATGTGCTTGTCCAAATCTATTGTTAAATTCTTCAGAGGGAAAGAGCTTAGATTGGGAGACTTGCCATTTTTCTCTAATTAGGAAACAAACAGAACAAACAGGGACCTGTATAATTAAAACCTTTGTTTAT